AAGTTATGCAAATCAGTATTTTTCTTTTCAAAATCATTAATTTTGATTTGCAAATCTTTAATCTTACTTTCAATATCATTGCTGGTTTTTGACATAAGACTATTTTCATTTTTTAATTTTGAAACATCATTTTTGTATTTTGAAAATAGAGTCTTATAATCTGAAGCCAACCCATTATAATCCTCTAATAACTCATCATAAGATAATTCATCCGAATCAAATGAGTTAGAGGTTACCTTAGAGTTTTCCCCGATGGCCATTAAACACAAGTTGATTACTTCTTGTTCCTCTTCATCGGAACCTTCTTCATCACTCCATGTAGCCACGTGTGCCTTGTGCTTTTTCTTGGATTGACCATTTTTCTTCAATTGAGGGTAATCATATTTGACATGCCCCAGCTTTTTGCATTCGTAGCAAATAATCGGGTATTTCTCTTTCGATTCAGTTTTGAAGCCTTCATTGCATTTGAATTTTCTTCCTCGGTTGGGCCTCATCAATTTCCTGAATCTTTTGGCAAATAATGTCATTTCCTCATCATCTTCATCCGAACCACTCTCATCTTTTGTGGATTTGAGAGCAACTCAAATGTTTTTCTTCTTCTCCTTTGGTGTCTCGTCAATCTTATCGAGGTCCACCTCATCTTCAAGCATCATTTCATGAGTGAGGAGGGAACCAATTAGCTCTTCAAGAGTTAAGGACTTTAGGTTCTTAGCCTCGATAATTGTCGTCTTCTTTGATTGCCACGATTTTGGAAGTGAGTAAACTAACTTCCTCACAAGCTTTTCGTTTGGAATAATCTCTCCATATGATTTGAGACCATTGACAATCGTTGAAAATCTATCCGTCATAGCTTTTATATCTTCATTTGGTTTCATCCTGAAATTTTCATAGATATGCGTTAGAAGACTAATTTTAGATTCTTTTACCTCGTCCGTGCCTTCATGAGTGACTTGTAGTTTATCCCATATTTCTTTGGCAGTTGTACAAGTTGAAACTCTTATGTATTCATCTGGTCCAAGAGCACAAAATATGATATGGATGGCTTTGGAGTTGAGCTGGAACATTCTTGTCTCTCATTCACTCCACAATCGTGGATGAGTGAGAGGCTTGATATATCCGACTTCTACAACATTCCATGCTCCCATGTCACTTGCTTGAATGAAATACATCATCATATTCTTCCAATAGGCATAGTTAGCTCAATTGAAGAAAGGAGGCTTGTTGACGGGCATCGAATCGAGATCGGAGTCAAAGTTTGAAGTGGAGGTCATTGATGACTTGATTATCGATGTAACTCTTCCTGAATCAACTCAAGAGGCGATTAAACCTTCAAATGAGTGTGGCTCTGATACCAATTATTGAGTTAATCGATTGACGGAATAGGTCAAGAGGGGGTGAATTGGCAATTAAAAATTTGGTGGAAGCTTTTGTAAAAAATTAAAAGTAATTGATTTAGAGTAGTTCCACTTTCTCAACCAAAGTCTACGTCCACTACCTTAGATATCCACACTAAGGATTTTCCAACAAATTCACTAATTTGTTCTTTCTTTTGAGGCTAAAGAGATAAGCTTACAATTCCCTCAAGAATATACCCTAATTCTTGAGAACACTATTTCTCAAAGAGAATATTACAAATTCGCAAATTTAATGAAAAACCTCACAAGGCAAATGTGTTTGCACAATTCTAGAACAAAGAAAGAACACTCAAGAATAATACAATTGAGCACAATAAGTGTTCTTAAAAGCAAAAATGAATATTGAATGAAATAGGCTTGAAAATGCTCAAACTTGAGGTTTGATGTTTTCTCTTTGATTCTCTCTTGATTCTTGTTGATTGTTGTTTCTTGTTATTGATCAATGGCTTCTAAGCTTGTTTAAATACTCCTTCAATTGATTCTAAACGTTGGGGATGATTAGTGGAGTCAATGGAGCCGTTTAAGTATGAAAATATTTAATAAAACAGTTGGGAGCGTCTGGTGCATCGATGCATAAGGCTAGTGCATCGGTACACTATGTGTAAAATTCAAATATTTCGACCGTTGGACCCTTAGTGCATCGGTGCACTAAGAGTGCATCGATGCATGAAGTGCAATCGATGTTTCAAAATAGCATGAGTGCATCGATGCATGTCTTGTGCATCGATGCATAAAATGCATTCGATGTTTTCATACAAACCTGAGTGCATCGATGCATGGTATGTTCATCGATGCATAAACTGTATTCGATGTTCAATTTATTCAATGGTGCATCGATACATGGATTGGTGCATCGGTACACTCTTTTGAAAAATTGATTTTAGGCTTGTTTTTGGTTCGAAATACTTTGTGAAAATTGTTTCAAAAATATTTTAAGATTAAAACACAATTTTACACTTTAGTAAGAATTGAATTTGATCTTTGAAAGACTTGGAGTAATATTTTGATATTCGAGTAATTAAATCGAATATACTTAGAAAATCATTTGTAAAATCTTAAAATTCATTTATACTTAATTTGTTATATTGAAACATCAAAAAGTTTTCAACAAGTTTACATGAACAAATGAGAAATGATATAAGCCATATGAAACGATCTATGTGAATACATGCACTTGTGATACATGTGATATGATATGAGATATATGGTTACACATACATGTGGTATGTGACAGAAGAGAAAGAAAAAGTGATATGAAATGTATAAATAATAATGCCCATGTTATATGATATGAGAGCTAGTGGTATAGTTGGCATGCCAAGAGTCGAGGGTTCTACGTGGTCCTTCGGGACATATATGTATTCTTTGGAACATTTACAGGGTCTTGTGAGACACATATGTGATCCATTGGAATATGTATATGGTTCTTAAGGAGTGGTCATTCGGGACAAATACAGTATATAGGTCCTTCGGGACAAATTCATATTCCCCTATTAGGACCCCATACGAGCTGTGGTGACAGCATAGTGCACAACCTCAATGTACTCGAATACCTTGGTTCTCAGTAATGTACATGGGCCTATAACAGATATCAAAAGTGTTTGTATGAATATATGATATGTGTGTTCTTTTGTGAAATGATATATGATATACCGAAATGATAAGTACAAGATCATATGGTAAATGGGTTAATGATAATGATGATATGTATGCAAGTATGTATTCTGTTATATGAAATGTTTTATGGTTTTTATTATATGTTTTATATGCCTCACTAAGTCATAGACTTAGCATGTGATTGTTTCATGCGTAGGTTTCGAGAAGAGAAAGATTGATAAAAGTTATGCAAGATAGGTCAGTTCCTCATTTCCAAAGATCATATCAGAAAATAAATGTATAGTATGTATTTTGTAATAAGAAAAGTGGTTCGTATGTAAATAAAGGATTAAATCTGATATGTTCTAATCGGTTTTAAAAAGTCATACGATTGAGTTTGTAATGTTTTAAATGTATATATGTCATTGATAAATTTTATACGGATTAAAGCTTAGATTTTTACGAGTTTATACGTATTTTTACGAAAGTTACTGTAGCAGTGCATCGATGCACTGTAGCAGTGCATTGATACATAATTTATATTCGAAATTTTTCGCTGTTCACGGTTCTATTCATACTGTATAGCACTATTCATAAATATGTTTTTGCCTTAAATTTTTATAATGAAGTATAATTTAATAGTTCAAATGTTTTGTTATCTTGTAAGAACATTGTTTTTAAAAGTTAATGTGACATCTCGGACTCGTATCCGGGTCGGGTACGGGTTGGGGTGTTACATATTAGCAGTACATGATTTGTTTACAAAGAGAGAAATAGCTTATACCTCATCTTCCAGAAGCTAAAAATAAAGAATAAAAAACAACAAGAATAAATCTAATAGGAACATACCTTTACGTTGATTTTAGAAGCAGATTTGTAAGGTACTGATTATTGACCCAAGTAGTAGCCATACACTGCATAACTATGCCAAACTCCACAAGATTCTTCTTCTTCCATGGACCTTTGAAAAGTTAATAAACTTTACACGTAAGGAACGCCTATGAAAAGAAAAGCAGAGTCAGTGTACGACCAGATAAAATTCTGCACACCATAAAGATCAGAATTTTTCCTGTCAGGCAAAAGCCAGAGAAGGAACTGTGGAGCTCCAGGAAGTTTAGATTGGATATCCTCGAACATTTTCTCAACCCTCACAACAGGAGAGCATCGCCTGTTCTGATTTGACTCTTAAAACACATGAAATGGAGGGTCTATCCGCTAAAAAGGTACAATAAGTTGAATTCTATAACTCTGTATATGCTCAGTTACGAAACCCTTACAACCCCCCCCCCCAAAATCAAAAATTTTAGTTGGCTCCACTAGTTTCTATGAAATCATGTCAATGGTTGTTAAAGATACAATAAATGGAACATATATAACATAGGAGGATGCAAAAGAAAAGAGAGGAAAACCTTAATTGTTAAAATTCCATCGCTCATTCCGTGGAAAGAAATCTTCCCCATTACCAACTTTTAACTGTCATCAAAGATAAATTAGAATGTAGATCTAGATAAAAGATTATTATGATAACCCTGACCACCCAACATAAATGTTGTGATATTAGATCAGTGGAACAAACAAATTATTAAGCCAAATATAATTCTAACTTGGTGCAAGCAGAACACGACCTTCCACTTGAGTGAAACTAGTACTGATAGAAATACCAAATGAACGTAGCATTGGCTCAACACCATAATTGCTCCTCTGTAACGCCTGCACACAATCTACAACACTCATTGACACAAGTTGTAGCACATGTGAAATGAAGTTAGTCAAAAGCTTAGACAAAAGGCTTACACTAGACAAGACAATCATTCTTTCCTAAGGCTTCTGTCTTAATTTTTTGACCAAAGAAGCTAACATGGTTAGTGCTTTTGTGTAACGTTGTAAATATACCAGGGAACAATGCTATTGCAACATGTTCATAACCCATAGCAAGAATTAGTTATGAAACATATATTCTATAAATAAACAAAACCATAGTGCATGAAATCACCTCCAAAGGAATATACGTTGCCATTTTGGCTTTCCAACATTAATGCATGGAAGGTCTGCAGAATAACGCAACTGTATGTTGCGATGGTTGACAAAATAATCATAAACATTAATCTCCAGATTCTCAGCGTCACCATTATCGTTCTTCAGACTTTTCTGCTTCAAGGAAAACCTACAAGGCCAAATTTATACAACAAATAACAAAGTTCGTAAAAACTAAACCTTGAGACAAGGTGCCAACATACATAAATTAATAATAGCCAACATAAAATAAATCAAAGAAAAAAATTGTTATGAAATCAGGAAACATACAACTGATCTTTGCACATTTGCTCGCTCAATCCAGTAATTTTGTATGCCTGATTGGATGGACTGACTTTTATCCTCAGATTCTTAAGAGTTCGTTTAGCCTATACAGGGAACCAAATAATAGTGGTCTAATAATTGATGCGAGAGAACTTGCACTTAGCAAAAGTGAGGATTTATTGGTTACCTTGGTCCAGTCTAGGGAGTAAGGATCTATGTCATTCCAATTGGCAATTAAAAAATCCACAACTGGACCAGGTTGAATGATCATTGTATTGGATACATCTTGTAATATCCTCCATACTGGGTTACTGATTAAATTGTGAAATTTTAAAATTTAGTGACCAAAGTAGATAAATTGAATAGTTGGAAGATTTAATGGGAATGTTTTATGTAGGATGGATAAGAAAAGAAGGGAAATTAAGAGGGCAAATGAGTCTTTTAGCAAGAGAAATAATTAAATATTACTTAAGGTTATTTAATAAACCGCGTGGAAGTTAGAAGAGAAGGCAAAAGTTTCCAGATTTCTCTTCTTCTTCTTCTTCTTCTTCTTTCTTCTTCCCCGTGAGACCCAGCTAAAGGTGAGTTTTCTTGTTAATCAAATTCTTGATGAATTTAAGGTTGTTTATTGATCATTGGATGATAACTAAGCTTAAGGAAAGCTTAAATTATCTTAAAACAATAAGATGAAGAGTATATGAAGGATTAAAGAAAGGAAGTAGAAAAGTAAAATCTTGGAATAGAGTTCATAATAAGAATTAGAAGTGGGATTTGACTTGTCATCAAGCTAATTAAAGGATATGAAGTGTTAGAATTCGATTTAGAACATGTTGGAAATTGAGTGAAATTCTTAAATTTTATATGGAGAATTGAATTTCTAAGTTTTTAAGGTATCGAATGGATAATAATTAGTTTAAGTAAGTGTATGCAAATTAGGGATATAAAAGGAGGTGAAATATAAAGTGTAGAGAAGATTATAAAGAGATTTTCGTGTTTAAATGACATTTCTGGGCTATGTGCATCAATGCATATTCAATGTGCACCGATGCATCAAGGATAAATCCCAGAAATTGTTCAAGGTGTATCGATGCACAGGAAGTGCATCGATGCACTCTTTTAAAAAATACAAACATCGAATGCCATCAATGCATCGATGCATAAGGAGTGCATCGATGCATAAGGAGTGCATCGATGCACCACCCTTAAATATAAACATCGAATAGGATTTATGCATCGATGCATGGTGTTGTGCATCGATGCATACCTTCATTAAAAGATGAAAATAGCTTTTCTTTTAGCCCAAGAAATTATAGTTTAGAATACATTAATTAGCATACTGATTACAATCAATGAATTTCTCTGTAGATACCGAGCCTAAACAAGTTCCAGAACAATTACCTCGTAAGATCGATCGAGGAAAAAACAAGGAAATATAGGTGAGTGCATATGCATAGCATGAATATGTATTCTATTCAGTTATAGACTTGTGATAAGTCTAGATTCAATATTTTGATACATGATCGCATTTCATATTATGATACATGACATGAATTCATATTATATGCATTAAGTGACATGAATATGCAGGAAAAGTTATATAAGCTATGTGATAAAGTGATGGAACATGATATGCTTATGTAATAAAGATTTGGAAATTATATGTCTATACAATATAAATTATGGGAATGATGGAAGCCCATATGTAGATTAGAACTATAGGTATAGTTGGTATGCCAAGAGTAGAGGGACTATGCGGTCCTTCGGGACATATATGTATTCTTTGGAATAGGTGTGAGGTCTTTTAAGACACATACTTGATCCTTGGCATATGTATATGATTCGTAAGGAATTATCTATGTGGTCCTTAAGGACAATATTATATGGCACTACGGTGCAATTCTACATGGCACTTAAGTGCAATTCTACGTGGCACTTCGGTGTATTTATACGAGTTGTGGTGACAACATAGTGCACAACCTCACAGTACTCACATACCTTAGGTTCTCAGTATGGTATCATGGGCCAATAATCTTATTAATATGGATTCATGAATGTCAATATATTATACTGACAGGTAAAGAACATGGTGATATAAACTGCATGATTAAGCATTTGATTTTCATCTCATTCCATTTAATTATGGCATTTCCATTACATTTCTTTGTTATCATTATTATTATATATTACCTCACTAAGTCGATGACTTAGCGTGTGAGTGTTTCACACGTAGGATCCGAGATAGTAGACGATCAAGGTTAAGCAGCTGGACAACATTACTCCTGCAACTATCAGATCAGAGGGAATTTGAGCAGTAGGTCCTTTTGCTATGTAAATGAATGTTGGCATGTAATCAAAGTGTCAAGTAATGTATACTCTAATTATTTTGATAAATTTGTATTAACATATGTATATTATTATATATTTTAATAATATAAGTTCAAATGTTTTATCGGTTTTTTTAGAGTATTATTTTGTTTAGTTAATGTGACATCCTGGATTCGTATCCGGGTCGGGTATGGGTTGAGGGTGTTACATTTAATGGTATCAGAGCTATGGTTTAGCCGATTCTGGGCATAAACCAGAGTCTATAGGGTCTTTAAATAGAATACATACCAACAAATAGTGAGAACTTCTGATCTGGTATAGTATGAGTATGTTGTTTTGCTAATAGAACAATGTGTTTATTTTATTAGATGTCTGGACATAATAGCTCCCGAAGTGAAACGGGAGAAGATAGGTCTGCTGAAAGCAGTAATTCACCTGCCCTGGCCAGGCAAGGTGAAGAACATGCATCTCAAGGAGTGCCTGTGCAAGATCAGGATACGTTCTTCATAATGTTAGACGCTATTCTGACGCGTCTTCAACCTCCTGCTCCACCAACTCAAAGAATGAATGTAGCAAAAGAGTTGAGAGGTTTAGGAGCTCCCAAATTTAAGAGAGAAGCCGAGGAAGGGCTGGTAGCGGTGGATCTTTCGCTAGATGACTTGAAAATCATGTTGGATGGTCTCCACTGCTCTGAAGTGGAGAAGTTAGATGTAGTTGTCTCTTTACTGAGGGGTCAGGCGAGAATATGGTGGACGAACGTCACCATGAGGATGTCAAATGACCAATTGACTTGGTCTTTGTTCTTAGATGAATTTAAAAACAAGTACATTGGAGATAAATTTATTCGGCAGATGAAGCAAGAGTTTATGAACTTGAAACAGATGAACCGCTCTGTATATGAGTATGAATATGAGTTCAACAAGCTGAGTAGGTTTGCATCTGAATTTGTGCCTACTGAAAAAGAGGCTTGTGAATGGTTTGTCGAGGGCTTACACCCTAGATTGAAAGAGATGCTAATAGTATTGAATTTGTCCTCGTTCCAAGAGGTAATCAATCATGCCAAGGCTTTTGAAAGAGCTCAGAATGAGAGATTCGGGGATTTTAGAGTTCAGACATCAAAGAGGACGGATGCTTCTTCTAGCTCAGCACCACCAAAAAGAGGAAAAGATTCAGGATTTCGTTCACAAGCTAGATCAAAATCAGTTGCATCATTTGCTAGGGGAGTAAGTCAGGCAAGACCTAGACAGACACAGTCAGTGGGATCTGGTGTTGGGAGATGTAATCAGGGTCAAGCAAGACAGTGTCAGCACTGTGGGAAAAACCATTTTGGGCTTGTCGGATGGCTGCTGGGACTTGTTTCCGATGCGGGGATGTCATATATTTTATCCGAGATTATCCATTGATGGTTGGTGAGCCTGCTTCATCTGAGAGAGTTGGCTCTGCCTCACAGAGAGGACGAGGAAGGGGCAGAAGAAGAAACCAGTCTGAATCCTCTACATAACATGAAGTTCGCTCAACTGCTCGGGTATACAATTTAAAGACAAGTGAAGATCGGGATGATCCTGATATTATAGTAGGTACTTTTTAGTTGTATGATAAATTAATATTGATATTGATTGATCTGGGCTCTAATTATTCCTACATTACAAGTAAATTATTAAAGAAATTGAGGATTCCCTTAGTAGCCACGAGTAATGAAATTATAGTAACTAATCCTTTAGGCCATAGTGCTCGAGTAAACAAAGTCTGTAAGGGGTGTCCCATAAAGATTCAGGGAATTGAATTCCCTGCTAATGTGATAGAATTACCCTTTGACGAGTTTGAAGTGATTCTGGGAATGGACTGGTTGTTCCGTTACTATGGGGATGTTAATTGCATATCGAAAAAGGTAACCTTGAAAAGTCCAAGAGGAACAAAAATAAGTGTGATCAGTGAAAGATTTAATCCTTTAGAAAATGTAATATCAGTAATGTCTACTAAGAAGCTATTGCTACAAGGATGTCGGGGTTTTCTTGCAAATGTGATAGATACCAGAGCTAAAGAGAAAGGATTGAATGAGATTTTAATAGTTCAGGAATTCCCTGATATTTTTCTTGTTGAGTTACCAGGATTACCTCCAGATAGAGAGGTAGAATTTCAAATTGAAGTAATGCCGGGAACAGCTCCGATTGCAATGACACCTTATCGGATGGCTCCGAAAGAATTACAAGAGTTAAAGAATCAATTGCAAGAGTTGTTAGAAAAGGGATTTATTCGACCAAGTGTGTCACCTTGGGGAGCTCCGGTGTTATTCGTTAAGAAGAAAGATGGATCAATGCATCTCTGCATGGACTATCGACAGCTCAATAAGGTGACAATAAAAAATAAATATCCCCTCCCACGCAAGGAGCTTCGGTATTCTCGAAGATTGACTTACGTTCTGGTTATCACCAATTAAAGATTCAGGAGAAGGACATTCCAAAGACTACTTTTAGAATGAGATATGGTCATTATGAATTGTATCCGAAGAATGTATAATGGACCCTCAAAAGGTTAAAGTTATAATGGACTGGGAAGTTCCCAAGAATGTATCCAAAGTTCAGAGTTTCATTGGACTTGTCGGTTATTATCGAAGATTTGTTAAGAATTTTTCGATGATAGTGCTGCATTTAACGAAGCTGATGAGAAAGAATGCACCGTTTGTTTGTACTTTTGAATGTCAAGAAAGTTTTGAAGCTTTAAAGAGGATTCTGACAGAAACTCCTATATTGGTTCAACCGGAATCTGACAATAATTTTGTCGTATACAGTGACGCATCCCATAACGGGTTGGGGTGTGTATTAATGCAAGAAGGAAATGTGGTAGCGTATGCATCGAGGCAGTTGAAACCACATGAAAAGAATTACCCCACCCATGATTTAGAAATGGCTGCAGTGGTGTTCTCTCTTATGATTTGGCGTGATTATCTGTATGGAGAACGATGTTACTTGTATACAGATCATAAGAGTTTGAAATATCTGATGACTCAAAAAGAGCTTAATTTGAGACAAAGGAGATGGGTTGAGTTTTTAAGAGATTATGATATAATAATTGACTATCATCCCAGAAAGGCTAACGTGGTAGCAGATGTTGTGAGTAGGAAGACGTTTGTAGCTTTACGAGCTATGGATGCAAGGTTATCTTTGACTAGAGACGGTGATCTATGTGCAGAGTTAAAACTTAAAACAGAATGGTTAGACCGAATAGGAGAATTACAAAGTAAAGATGAAAGGTGTTTGAAAAGAATTGATCAAGTAAATAGCAAAGCGATTAAAGACTTTGAGGTTAAGTCAGATGGAAATTTGTATTATAAAGGAAGAATTGTGATACTCGAAAACTAGGATTTGAAGAAAGATTTATTGACAGAGGCTCATTGTAGTCCATTGACGATGCACCCGGGTGAAACTAAGATGTATATGGATTTAAAAGATCGGTATTGGTGGCCAGGGATAAAACGAAGCATCACCGAATTTGTGTCTAGGTGTTTGACATGTCAACAGGTCAAAGCCGAACATCAAGTTCTGTCTGGATTATTGCAACCACTTTCTATTCCACAGTGGAAGAGGGAAAATGTGATGATGGATTTTGTTTCGGGGTTACCCTTGACTCCGAACAAAAGAGATTCAATCTGGGTAATTGTTAATCGATTGACTAAGTCAGTGCATTTCCTTTCGGTTAGAACATATTTCTCTATGAAAAAGTACGCGGAGCTATATATTAGCGAAATTATTAGATTGCATGGGGTGTCTGTTTCTATAGTCTCTAATCAAGACCCTCGATTCACTTCGAGATTTTGGAAATCTTTGCATGGAGCATTGGGAACTCGTTTAAACTTTAGTACGGTTTTTCATCCTCAGACTGACGGGCAATCAGAGAGAACTATTCAGATATTGGAAGATATGTTGAGAGCATGCGTAATGGAATTCAAAGGATCATGGGAAAAGTATTTACCGCTGGCAGAGTTCGCTTACAACAATAGTTATCAGTCCAGTATAAAGATGGCCCTATACGAGGCATTATATGGGAGGAAATGTCGTACTCCCTTAAATTGGTATGAACTCAAAGATCAAAGTGTTCTTGGTCCGGATTTAATTCAAGATGTAGAAAAGAAAGTTCAAGAAATTCAGCATAACCTCAAGGTAGCCTCTGATCGACAAAAGTCCTATTCTGATCTTAAAAGAAAAGAGATTAAATTTGAGGTTGGAGATAAAGTTTTCCTTAAAGTATCCCCCTGGAAGAAAGTATTACGATTTGGTCGGAAAGGAAATTTAAGTCCGAGATTCATTGGGCCATATGAAGTTGTTAAGAGGATATGACCTGTGGCATATCAGTTATCTTTGCCACCAGAAATGGAGAAAATTCATAATGTTTTCCATGTGTCTATGTTGCAGAGGTATAGGTCTGATCCCTCTCACATCATTGCACCAGAACAAGTAGAAGTCCAATCGGATCTAACATATGAAGAAGAGCCAGTGAGAATATTGGATTATGAAGTAAAACGATTGAGGAATAAAACTGTTTCATTGGTTAAAATTCTCTGGAGGAATCATAAAGTAGAAGAAGCCACGTGGGAACGTGAAGAAGATATGCGATTTCAATATCCTCATTTGTTCTTGCAATGAAAATTCGAGGACGAATTTTTTTAAGGGAGGGAGATTTGTGACATCCTCCATACTGGGATAGTGATTAAATTATGAAATTTTAAAATTTAGTGACCAAAGTAGATAAATTGAATAGTTGGAAGATTTAATGGGAATGTTTTATGTAGGATGGATAAGCAAAGAAGGGAAATTAAGAGGGCAAATGAGTCTTTTAGCAAGAGAAATAATTAAATATTAATTAAGGTTATTTAATAAACCACGTGGAAGTTAGAAGAGAAGGCAAAAGTTTCCAGATTTCTCTTCTTCTTCTTTCTTCTTCCCCGTGAGACCAAGCTAAAGGTGAGTTTTCTTGTTAATCAAATTCTCGATGAATTTAAGGTTGCTTATTGATTAGTAGATGATAACTAAGCTTAATGAAAGCTTAGATTATCTTAAAACAACAAGATGAGGAGTATATGAAGGATTAAAGAAAGGAAGTAAAAAAGTAAAATCTTATAATAGAGTTCATAATAAGAATTAGAAGTGGGATTTGACTTGTCACCAAGCTAATTAAAGGATATGAAGTGTTAGAATTCAATTTAGAACATGTTGGAAATTGAGTGAAATTCTTAAATTTTATATGGAGAATTGGATTTCTAAGTTTTTAAGGTATCTAATAGATAATAATTAGTTTAAGTAAGTGTATGCAAATTAGGGATATAAAAGGAGGTGAAATATAAAGTGTAGAGAAGATTATAAAGATATTTTCGTGTTTAAATGGCATTTCTGGGCTATGTGCATCGATGCACATTCAATGTGCACCGATGCATCAAGGATAAATCCCAGAAATTGTTCAAGGTGTATCGATGCACAGGAAGTGCATTGATGCACTCTTTTAAAATATACAAACATCGAATGCCATCAATGCATCGATGCATAAGGAGTGCATCGATGTACCCCCTTAAATATAAACATCGAATAGGATTTATGCATCGATGCATGGTGTGGTGCATCGATGCATACCTTCATTAAAAGATGAAAATGGCTTTTCTTTTAGCCCAAGAAATGATAGTTTAGAATACAGTAATTAGTATACTGATTAGTATCAATGAATTACTCTGTAGATACCAAGCCTAAACAAGTTCCAGAACAATTGCCTCGTAAGATCGATCGAGGAAAAAACAAGAAAATATAGGTGAGTGCATATGCATAGCATGAATATGTATTTTATTCAGTTCTAGACTTGTGATAAGTCTAGATTCAATATTTTGATACATGATCGCATTTCATATTATGATACATGACATGAATTCATATTATACGCATTAAGTGACATGAATATGCAGGAAAAGTTATATAAGCTATGTGATAAAGTGATGGAACATGATATGTTTATGTGATAAAGTGATGGAACATGATATGTTTATGTAATAAAGATATGGAAATTATATGTCTATACAATATAAATTATGGGAATGGTGGAAGCCCATGTAATGTAGATGAGAACTATAGGTATAGTTGGTATGCCAAGAGTAGAGGGTCTACGCGGTCCTTCGGGACATATATGTATTCTTTGGAACATGTGTGAGGTCTTTTAAGACACATACTTGATCCTTGGCATATGTTTATGATTCTTAAGGAATTATCTACGTGGTCCTTAGGGATAATCTTATATGGAACTATGGTGTAATTCTACGTGGCACTTCGGTGCAATTCTACGTGGCATTTCGGTGCATTTATACGAGCTGTGGTGACAACGTAGTGCACAACCTCACAGTACTCACATACCTTAGGTTATCAGTATGGTATCATGGGCCAATAATCTTATTAATATGGATTCATAAATGTCAATATATTATACTGACATGTAAAGAACATGGTGATATAAACTGCATGGTTAAGCATTTGATTTTCATCTCATTCCATTTAATTATGGCATTTCCATTACATTTCTTTGTTATCATTATTATTATATTGCCTCACTAAGTCGATGACTTAGCGTGTGAGTGTTTCATACGTAGGATCCGAGATAGTAGACGATCAAGGTTAAGCAGCTGGACAACATTACTCCTGCAACTATCAGATCAGAGGGAACTTGAGCAGTAGGTCCTTTTGCTATGTAAATGAATGTTGTCATGTAATCAAAGTGTCAAGTGGTGTATGCTCTGATTATTTTGATAAATTTGTATTAACATATGTATATTATTGTATTTTAATAATATAAGTTCAAATATTTTATCGGTTTTTTTTAGAGTATTGTTTTGTTTAGTTAATGTGACATCCTGGACTCGTATCCGGGTCGGGTATGGGTTGAGGGTGTTACACATCTAAAATAGAAAAAAAATTGAGTAATTAAAAAAATACAAAGAAGACAAATGCACAAGAGCTGAGACATTCTTAACCAATTTTCAGGGAAAGCCCCCTTGAGATGCTCTGAAACTGGAATGGATCCCCTGCAGCCTAAGACACCTTCTCCAATATACTGAGACATAAGATAATTCCACATCATCATTAAAAAATCACTTCAATAGTTTTTTTAAATTTTTAACGATAGGTGATTAAAATAAAAGTAAAATATAACGTTTTGTATGATTTTGAAAAAAATAATTATTAAATAATTAAAACATAACAAAAATTATAATTAAGATACTAAATATGTAATTTACCCTGATTAAAATGACATATTTTTTACTCAACGGTCAAGTATAACAACAACAACAACAACAACAAAACCCTATTCCCATATGCAATGGGGTAAGGGAAGGTAGGGTAGTAGGCTGCCCCCAACACCAGGTTGAGAGCAGCTTCCGTGGAAGACCTCCAGCAATAAGAAAATTTAAAATAAAGATAAAATACAATTCATATATAAATAAATAAATACATAGTTGAGCAGTCTTTATATGCGCGTCTGTACTGGGAAGTAATCCCTGCAAATAAATTCCTGCGTAAAAATCTCTGCATATAGACAGAAACATAAGTCCCGACTAAATTTAAAAAGAGGAAATATAAAGAGAAGGATAACCAGAAGTCAGCGATAGCAAGCTACTAGAAGGAATAAAGTCAAATGGGTTAAAAACCTAAACTAAGGCAACACTACTCCGCTACCCTAGTTCTAAGCCTTCATAAATTCCAATGACAGAAACGTATAAAAATTAGAAGTCATGGAAATTACTACAAAGGCATTAAAAAGAAGACAGAGATGATGCACCCTATGGCTGTGACCCACACTACTCGGCTACCCTGGTCTTAAGTCTCCATACTTTCCTATCAGAGGTCATGTCCTCGGTAAGGGCTAAATCCTTCAAATCAGATCTCAAGCAGTCTACCCACTTCCTCCTTGGTCGTCCTCTCCTTCTGGCACCGTCGACTGTAATCGACTCTACCCTCCTGACCGCATCTGACGGTTGTCATCTAAGGATATGCCCAAACCACCGTAGTCTTCCCTCCCTCAATTTTTCGGATATATACACCACCCCCAAGGACATCCTAATTGTAGAATTTGGTGTCATATCCCACATAGTCCTACCACATGTCCATCGAAGCATTCTCATTTCTGCGGCCTCCATCCTCCTTACGTGATCCTTCTTGATTGCCCAACATTCTGATCCATACAACAGCGCTGGTCTTATTGCCATTCTATAAAATTTTCCCTTAAGCTTTAGAGGCACCTTCTTGTCACAAAAAACTCCAGTTGCAGCCCTCCACTTTAGCCATCCCGCCTTTATACGGTGTGTAGCGTCATCATCTACACCCCCCATCTTTATGTATCATAGACCCCAGGTACTTGAAACAATCCTTTGAGGGGAGAACGTGTCCTTCGATGCATATTTCTACATTTTCATCATTTTGTTTCCCACTGAAGTTTGAACATAAATACTCTGTCTTTTCAATATTGATCCTTAGACCTTTTTCTTCCAAAGCAGTCTTCCAGGTAGCCAGTCAACTATTCAACTCTGTTTTTGTTTCAGCAACTAGGACAATGTCGTCAGCAAAAAGCATACACCATGGAATACCGTTTGGGGTCGCACAATAGATGTCGTCCATAATCAAGGTGAAGATGTAAGGGCTAAGAGTCGACCTCTGGTGGAGTCTGATTTCCACCGAGAAAGCCTCGGTGTCGCCAACTGTAGTCCTGACGTATGTAGTAGATCTACAATACATATCACGAATCTCCCGGATATAAGCAGTTGAGATTCGTCTCGTTTCCAAGGTCTTCCATATCATATCGCGGGGAACACTATCATACGCATTCTCAAGGTCAATGAACGCCATGTGAAGATCTCTATTTTTTCCCTATATTTCTTTATAAGTCGTCGAAGAAGATGAATCGCCTCCATAGTAGACCTGGCATAAAGCCAAATCGGTTTTCCGAAACCCTAGTAATCTGTCTCAACCTAGCCTCTATTACCCTTTTCCATAGCTTCATGGTATGACTGAGTAGTTTAATACCTCTGTAGTTACCACAACATTGGAGATCTCTTTTATTCTTATAGATTGGTATCACCGTAGACTCTCTCAACTCCTCTGGCATCTTGGCAGTCTCTAAAATAATATTAAAGATATTGGTCAACCACTTAACTCCATCTTCTCCTAGGGCCAACCACACAGTGATAGGAATTTGATATAGACCGACAGCTTTGTCCCTCCCCATCTTTCTAAGAGCCATTTTGACTTCCTCAATCTCAATCTTACTGGTAGGGCAATCATCGTCCGTAGTATGATGGTTGACTGACCCATCAACGGTACTATCTCTGCAGGTAGAGGCACCGTCAGTAAATAAGCCGGAGAAATAACTACCCCAAACCCTCTTAATATCATGATCTTTCACTAAAAGAACACCATTGTTATCCATAATAAACCTAATGATACCTAAATCCTCGTATGCTTATCCTTTGCTATAGCCACTGTTTTCTTGGCTTCCCTCTTTGTTTCCTTGTATCTTTGTTTAGCTCTCGATCTTTCATCATCGTCATTGCATTGTAGAAACTCCTTGAAGCAAGTTTGCTTTGTCTTCACCTTAGTTTGGACTTCGTCGTTCCACCACCACGATTCTTTATGTTCCTTGACCTTCCCTGTCGACAACCCAAGGGTGTTTTTGCCCACCTCTCTGATGGAATTTGCCATATTTTTCCATAACATATCTGCATTATTTGAGTTTGTAGTTTCAAAACCTGTATGAGACAAAACCTTACTCCTAAAGTCATCAGTTGTCGCTCCATGTAAGTTCTTCTAAAAGATCCTAGGTTTACCTAGTTTAGCCTTCCTATGAGTGCTCCACCCGTGACGTACGCAAAACACCAAAACCAACAATCTATATTGTGATGTACATGCCTCTTCAGGGAACACCTTACAGTCAATGCAAGCTCATCGTTCCCAATTTCGAACCAGGATGTAGTCGATTTGGGTACAATGTCCCCCGCTATGGAACGTAATCAAGTTCACATCTCTCTTGTTAAAGAAGGAGTTAGTGACACCATATCCTGTGCAATAGCAAAATCAAGCAACGTGCTCCCCTCCTCGTTCCTACTACCAAAATCGAAACCCCCATGAACACTGTCATACCCGTCGATTGTACTACCTATATGGCCATTGAAGTCTCCCCTTATGAAAAACTTTGGTCCTCTAGAATGCTCCTAAGTACATCATCAAACGAATCCCCGAAGCAATGTTTCTCCCCCTCCCCTAGGCCAACGTGTGGGGCATACACTGAGAGGACATTCACCACTTCCGCTTCTATAATAACCTTAATCATCATGATCCTATCACTGTATCTACAAACTTCAACTACATTTTCCTTGTGCTTAGAGGATACCAAGATCTACGCTTGAATACCACAACTTGTACCCGTTATACTCTCTGGCGTGAGCCTCTTTCCACCTAGTCTCTTGAATACATGCAAAATCTATTTTCCTATTACTTAGTACGTCGGTCAGCTCCAGCAACCTAGCATTTAATGTGCCTACATTCAATGTACAAACTCTAAGTCTAGTCTCCTTGACACCACTCTGTCGAGCCCGCCCCCTATACACCCTATGGGATCTAAAAGAAAGACATGACCTCAAGTAATCATCTATAGCCGAAGCTATGAGGAATTATAAAAAAAGAATCCAAAGAAGACAGAAGGTAATCAAAATCCCGAATTCGCAAATCTTAAACAAGATAAAGTAGCCAAATTTCTGGAAATTAGCCGGTTTAAAACAAGATTATCCTAGGAGAAGGAACCCAAACTGAAACAGCAATGCGTTACTACAAAAGGCAATTCAGTAAATATAAAGGGAAGAATAAGAACTGACAGTGCTTCTCCTTTGCTCAGCAGCAACAGCAAGTGCAAAAGCAACCAGATCAATCACAAAAACAATAGTACTTATAGATTATGTTCTTCCTTTAGCCAAAATAAAAGAAATCTACAAACAAAACTTCAATAGAAAAATATATCTATAGTATATTTAAAAAAATACTCTATATGACAATTAACGACATTCCTTAAAAATGAAAAGGAAAGAAATTTTTGGGAGAATTGAAATGAGGAACGGAAGGCAAAGATCTGCTTCTGATGTATCAATAAGATTATTTGATTATTTATGATATGAGGGGAAAATGAGACGAAACAGCTATAGGGAGATGTAAATCTGGGAAAATCTGACGGATCAGATGCAGATGTAGATGAGTTTTTACTCTTTGAAGAAGCTCGTAACTCTTTTCCCCGGAGCCAAATGTTCCTCCTTTCGTAAAGCTAAAGCCTTTCTATTGTAGATCTGGCTTTGGGGAAGTTAATAGATACACAGAAATGGAATCTAAACAAACAGAAAAAGCAAATGAAACGTGAACTTCGTCAAGTATAACAAATGTTCCTTGTTAACTGCATTATATATATATATATATATATATATATATATATATATATATATATATATATATATATATATAAGACGCCATTGGTGAAATATTTATTGCCTAGACTTCTTTTAAAAATATGTCTAGGATTATTTTTCTTTGAAAAGGTTTTAGGATTAATTTTATTTCTACAATGGCCTCAAATTAGTGACATTATCTATTTTTAATTGTATTAATTTACTTTTTAATTTTATAAATTATATTAATATTAGTTTCATGAACGAAAATTATCGTTGATTATTATTATGCATATATAATAATTAAATGTATCAACATGATCATCCACAATAATAACGAAATATTTTAGAGAAAAAAACTTGAGTGACCCAAAATATCTTATAATATACGATTTTAACTATTTTTTTTGTATTTGCAAAAATAACCAACGAATTCGCAACTCAATTTTGAATTCGCAACACGAAAGCCAATTTCGCAACACAGTTTCCGAATTCGCAGCTCGAATTTGGAATTCGCAACACAGAAGTCGAATTCGCAAATCGAATTTGACATTTTCACAACACGAATTTTTTTGAGTAACTCG